CTACTTGGACGTTAGTTCCCTCACCTTGGCCGTACCTCCTCCTTCCGCGCCGTAACTAATCGCCCGCGGCCGCTAATCGCGCTCCTTTCTCCCTAAACCGGGAGAAAAGTCGATGAAGAAACGCACTGGAAGCTGGAGACCGGCTTTGCAGGCCATTCTGCAGGAACAGGGAAGCGAAATATGTCGGGCTTAGCGAGCGCAGTCTGAAAAAAAGAAGAAAAAAAAGAAGAAAATGCAGAGGACATTTATTCGCCACTAAAACGTGGAATCTTTCCTGGAGAACAATTATCTTTCATTAGAACTGTTCCGCTTAAAGATAATTATATACTTTTCTATTCCGATTATTTACTCGAGGGAAATTATTTGATTTGTTAGGGATTCCAATTCGTTTATACATGTTTTGCAAGGAATTAATGTTAAATGAAAGTGGAGGCTTTAGGAGTAGGTATTGTAGTTGTGTTCGAGATGTGCAGAAAATGGCAGATCTAAGGATTTTGGCAACGACCAGATTCGGTCACATATAGCAAGTGAACCTTGATTTAACGAGGCCTCTTCGAGAATTATCGCGTGACCTTTGCGGGACCGGGATAATCGTCTGATTTTCTTGGCATTCGATTGTCTTTTCTTGCTCATTAGATCTAAACTTGACGTCGATGAATCTGCGTCACGTATACTTCCACCGAGGGCGACTTTACCCTGTCAACCGTCAGGCCAAATCAACTGTTCAAGTTCTTCCTCTACTCGAGATAAATCTTCTAAAATGTCCCAAGTGCTTCAATTTCGAAAAGCCACATCCAGAATTTTATACTTGGCCTCCATCTTGAAAATACATTCAATTTAAAATCAGACTTTAATGTATTGTACATTTAACTTTTACTGACCTTTGGCAATGAATTAAGCGATCCATCATGTTCACTTTCATTTTTTTGTCGTATTTCGTCGTTGTAGCCTCGTCCGCGGCATGCTAAAAATCTGATAGCTGGATTATGAAAGGGTTTTGTTATCGCGAGGGAAACAACCGGAAGTTGTGTCGTTCTTAAATAACTTCTGGTTGATGTAGCCGTAAGGTCCTTATACGTGTTATCGGAAAAATGATATGGGTTGCAGCGTGCGTGCAAGCCTTTCGTGATTCGTGGGATGTGATCACGCATTTACCCAGTCCGTGCCCAACGACGAATCACGCGAACGTCTTTCCACGAGTTAGCAAAAAGGATTCGCAAAAGTAACATGCACAAAGTCGCCGTGTTATAAGTCGGGGTAGTCGCGGCCATATTTCTTCTGGCTCTTTTCCCCCGCGCTGGGAAAATAATAATTAAATACTTCGTGGAATCGTATTTTCTGCGGTGGACTGCCCGAAATTAGTCTTCACGTTTACGTAGGACGCACGTGCTCGGATTCGCATTTGCCAAAGTCGCCGAAGAAGAAGAACCTCGATCAAGCCAAATGACGTACTCGCCCGACACGAGAAGTCTCGTGATTATTCGCGACACTTTTCAACACGTGCTGCTAAGTTATGACGTGCATCACAGTGCGCTCCTCATCGAGGGTGCTATTCCGAATCCGACGAGATTTCTAATTTCATCGGGGACATTCCAAAATGCGTACACATACCCTCAAAATAGTACCAACGTCCGTATGTATTACTTAACACCTTGCTCTTCCGCGTCTACTCGCTGTCTGGTCCCCCCTACGTTGAATCAACATCCATTACCCGCTTTTAATTAACGAGTACATAAACCCTCAATTTCCGGGTCAACATTACCCGCCAGCTCTTCGGGAACCACCTTGCAAACCTTAACAACAACAAATTTCCCACCGTCTCAAGATTAGGAACTGAGATCAGAAATTAAAATAAGATCAAGACATCTCTTTTGCCTTGTACTGCGATAAGCAATCTCGGCATTATAAAGTAATTGCGGTAACCCCAAGTCTGGCGGTAGATACAACTTCCTTTTCAGCAATACCTGCAGCTTATTCGATCGGTGGACTCGCCAGTGCATAATCGATGATAGCAAGACAATTGACCCTCGCATCTGCATCCGATGCACATCACGCATCGAGGCACTCTTTGACCTCCCTTAAGCCGGTTGACCCAGGCGTGTACCTGTGGGTGCATCTATGTGCATCTACGTACATCTACGTAAGCCGGTCGCGTAATGCAAGATGCGCGCAGGATACGCTCTGGATGTCGCGCGTACTGACCGCAGCTGCAGCTGCACGCTCGGCGCCTCGCGTATGCACCGCCCGGGACAAATGCAACAGTACACCGTGCGCACTTTTGCATAAACCCTACCGCGTACCGTCGGGGATATGTAAAGTACACTTACATGTAAGACATGCCGTGTCACTCGCGAAGGATATCGAAAACCAAGGCTGCACTCGTCGTATGGACGAACACGATTCGCGGATTGTCGCGCGACCTTCGCCCTGCGGTGTGCATCACGTGGAGGCCGTTGCATAAGAATCCCATTGTCACCGTGTGTTGCAACGGAGGTGTTCATAGAATTGAAACGGTTCGCAATGTATGCACGATTTCCCGTAACTTATGAGAAATTATGTAACGATAAAATTCTGGCGGGTGAATAAATTATACAGTTGCTACATTTGGTGGAATGATACATTTGAAGAGCCCTACGATAGCCACCCTCAAAGTTGATCCACAAAATCAGTTTTTTTTTTTTCACGTTTTCTCGCAAACGGAGTAATACTTCTAGACTGGACCGTCTGCAATTTAATTAGCTCCAACTGTCGATTCCAATAATGTACCCATTCGATTTTTCAATTCGTTTGACGTGGAAATGTCCAAGTATCGAATATCGGGGACACCTGTTGAAGAGCGAATGACCTGCTGCTTTATCATGAAATTGTTCCAGCCGAACGATCATTGCTTCCGATGTAAATACCGTTTTACTTAATAAGTTCTCACTCGAATATTATTTTCCGTGCCGAGTTGGCGGGGATCATGGCTGCGTTTGATATCAGAGAGAAAGTTCCGTGGATTAGGCGGAGCGTACCGTGGAGTTTCAGGGATGATTATGCTCGCCTTAATCCCTCCTCTAAGACCCACAGCCTCTCCCTTTAACGGTGAGCGCGTATTTACGCATCCGACTAATGCCGCCCCCGTTACTCCTTACGAAAGGAGGAAGTACTAAATCCAATATGGCGACTCACTCGCCGACACCTGCGAGGCGGTACCTTTGTGCGATAATCCTGCAAATTAGGCAGGCATAAATTATAACAGGAGGTAGACCTTTCGGTAGCACTGCCGCAACGTAGTCGCCGAATCCTAAGGGTGAACGATTTGACGTAGCCCGGTGAATTTTTTTTTTAAATACGAGAAAAAAAATAATTTAAAAAATACATTTTTTCGATACGTACACAACGTTCTACAGAACTTTGCAGGCAATAGTGTTATATTATATATAATGTCGATGTTCATTGAACGTTAGGACGTATGCATAATAATTTACATTGGGGCCCTATCTCCAATTTTGTACGATTGGACATTAGCGTTATACACGCCATTATTTGTATACAGTTTATTTACCAAGGAAGTACTTGCTCAAGTGCTTAGACTTTTTAAGTGGCAGGGGTAACCGGGTATTTTATCTAATGGAAATTGATAAGAAAAAACGGTAGCTACCTTCCGCGGTTGAACGTAAAACGTGCGGATAGCTTCTTGAGTAAAAGCGTACGAAAATAGCAATAGACCTCGAGCCTCTTCTTTATTTCGGTAGGACTTCCGAAACTCCCCGAAGCTGGGAGAGAATCTCGAGAGCTCGAGACAATTTTCCCAGCCACTGATCCAAATACTGATCACGCGGACGCGTAACCTCAGGGAAGGTGGAGGCAACGCGAAACTAGGGAACTCCTGTTCCCGAAGTTCGGAACCGAAAGTTATACACGAAATAAAGTGCAGGAAAAATTGAAACTGCTTCAGACTTACGGTACTCGAGATAGAAGTACGCTCGAAGCTGCCATCTAGAATAACGTGACGTTTCCTCTAGATCGATGTCATTTCCGAGAAGCTATTAACGTGGAATTCAGTGAAAACGATTTCCTTCTTTGATTGCTTTTGATTTCATACGATAAACAACAATGCGATTTGGTAACAAGTGACGTACGCCCTTAAAATTGTGACAGTATTCGGTGATTTCCACCGATTTCTACTTGCGATTTAAAGCCGATTTCCACACCATTTCAAGCGTTAACGCATTGTTGGCCGGCAATTTGACAACGCTAGTCGTTCCGGCACGAGTTAACTCGTCACGTACAATTGTCCTGACACTTTCGTTTCTCACATTAGAGCCTTCAATAATTGGATATCGAACGAAATATGAGAGCTCGACGCCATTTTGGTTCTGGTCTGGGCTAAGTTAATGAATTAAAAAGAAAAGAAATGGAAATTTTGAACCTGTCAGGATAAATCCTATGTGCTCACGAGTCATGTGTCAAAGTTTCGGTCCAATATGTCGAAGTTCTATCCAATACCCTTAAAAAAAGGAAGTGTTGCATTCGAATCGACTGATTTGAGGGGGGGTTTCACTTCGCCTTAAGCTCGGCAAGCTCGAGCCGGGCGAAAATAGCGAAAGGCTTCGGACGCTCCAATAATAATCGCGCTCCCGTTCCCAAGGGCGCGTACCCTGAAATTCGCGCTATCCGCGGCCACTGCCGCGTTATATCCGTCCGTTCGGTCTCGCTTTTCAGCCGACGGATTTAGCCGCGGTCCTGGTTCCTCGGCCACGCCGGCCGCGAGCCGGGAAACTCTCGGCCGAGCCCCTCGGAAAATCGCCGGGCCGATTAGTCGGCGGAAGTCGGTCCCTCGGTGCGGACCCTCGCTCCCTCGCGAGGCGCGAAGTCGCCGCCCCGAGCCCGAAGTGCCCGCGATTCTAGCCCGATAAGCGACATCTGCCTCCGAGTCGCGAGGAAATAGGTAGAGGCCGGCCTATTATTACGACGAGTCGGCGAGCGAGGCGAGCGAGTAGTCTGCGCGCGGGAGCGCTGTCAACAGGAAAGTCGACCGAGCTCCTGCACGCTGACAGTTCGCCGCGAAGCGTCGCGATCGGAGTGCGCTCGAGGAAGTGGTTTGAACGAAAAATCTTCGCGATACCTCCCATCGCGGTATCCGCAGCTTCGATTAACGTTGCACGATCTTCGGCCCCGGACGAACGTTGAGCGTAAGAACGTTGCCGACGGTACCTGGCGCACTTTGTCACGAGAAAAGTGCTTTTCCGGTGACAGTCGGGGAAAAGCGCGCGGGGTGTTTTTCGAGGAGGAAAATCCACCGCGCTCGTGTGGGTCGTGGTTATCCACCGTGGGCTGGGCAGAGGAAGGAATTGATTTATTTCCACCCGAGGAAAAATTGATGTCGACCTTGTTTGGCTGCGGTTATGAGCGCGTTTCATTGGCGGGATTTACGTGTCGGCTTGGTGGGATGGAAAATTCCTGGAGAGAGGAGTCGCGTTTCAATTTGACCGAGGACGTGTGTAGCGTGATTCGTAGTCGAATTGGAGAGTTCTCGGTAAAGGCTTTTGGACCGATCGGGGGAGAAGCGACATTTATTTTCTTAGCGGAGTGGAAGCCGCTCGAGGTGTTCTATTATAACGACGGTGACGCAGCTCGCGACTCCGTCTGCGTGACTCGACTCCGTGCAGTTTCCACGTCCGAAGAGAGACGGAAGAGAGGACATACTGGAGAATAAATTTTTAACTCATTTCCTGGGAACTCGCGCCTATATTTATCTACGCCCGCGAACTGCACTCCACGTCTCGACGCCCGTTCGAAAACGCAAGCTCTCTGTGCGTGGTCATCCAAAAGTTCCCACTCTCGGGGCAAAACCATAAATTTTACTCTCTTCGTCCTTTAAGAACATGAAAAACTATGTCGTTCCGATACTATGCGCGACATTGACCCATAACGATTTCTCTTGCATTCTAATTACCCGGTTTTATCCGCTCTAGAAAAACCAACCAAGCGACTCGTACCGCGTTCACGAGTGACCGGTCTGGTGCAATAAATCTTAGCCGACTACTCTAATTAACAGTTTATGTTAACTAATTTCGAAACTATACAACTTCGTGTCTTTCATCGGCGCAATATTGAGTTCGTGAAGTCTTGTCAAATCAGCTTCGGAAAATCCTTCATGAACAGCCCACGAAGGATACTTATGGTACTTCCTATTTCGCGGTAGTCGCGGGACTTCAAGGTACCTCCATTAAAGTACCCCGATTTCTCCAGCGATGGTGTTACTCAATTTTCCCGACTATTCGGAAAGTGGCGTTGAACGACTTCCAGGCTAATCAGGGCCGGGAAGATTTACTAGGCCGCGAGGCGCGCGTATCGTTGATAGTGCCGCTTCGAAGACGCCGGTCTCCAGTGATAACGAAGTTGGGTCTAACCAACCACTCGCGCCGACGTTAACCGGTTCCACGAGGAAGCGATATCTCACCCAACGTGTTATCGCTCACGTGAAATTCGGTGCTCCGCTTCCGCTCGAAGGCGTTGCGGCCACACTTGCCGCACACGTGCGTAGGTGCGAGCCGCCATCTTGGATGCGCTTTACGCGCAGTCGGCGGCCTGCTGACGGACCGACGAGATAATCCCTCGATAACGAGGACATCCCGTTGATTGAGGTCTTATTCGGGAACAAACCTGAATCTCGAAGTGGAGGACTAAGCATGAAAAGTATTATTTTGGGGAGCTGAAGAACCGATAGACGATAAACGAAGAGTGCGCGATTTAATGACGTTTCCAACGCCATGTCGGTGACCAAGACCATGCCAATTCCGCCGCGACCCCCGAAGATGAAGCACCACGTTGTGTGCGATACCTCTCAGAAGATGGTAATTGAAATCTTGTAATTTTGTAAATATACCGGAGAAAGGAAAACATGTCGACGACCTTGTTTCTTGCACTGTACATACGAAATGCCCGCAGCTCCCGACAGTTAGCCACGGCCACGTGGATCGAAATCTTGAGAACTATTTTTACGAACGTAACGGACACGGAATATCTGGTAACCACGCATGCACTTACTCCAGCATAATGAAAGGAGACTACGACCATATCTCGGCAATTACAAGTATTATTTAAATCAAAATTGAATCGCTACCTTTGGACATTATGCCCTGAACAATATACGGTCGTTTCCGATTCGTACAGGCTTGATTTTCAGTATTTACCGTTTCTTGGCGAGCAATGTATACATACTTATTGTACGTATCTTTCATTTTTTATCACTAGAAAGCATCTTCGTCTCGAGTCCCTCAATGCTGCCAGTTCCGTCCGCGTCGCCGAAACCTCCAGGCGTTTCCTCGAGTGCCCCGACGATTTCTTTGCCCGATACGAACGTCTTCCTCGTCGTTCCTCCCTTTCGATGGCTTTGGGCCCTTTCGTGGTGAAGTTTCGCGACGCGGTATAGAGGATGTTCCGGGATCGATAAAGACCTTCCGAAACCTCCGGAAGTACGTGTCGGCAATGTTTACAACGTACTTCAGGAGATGCGAGAGACTTTCAGGAGCTTGCGTGGAAATTCAGGCCCTTCGAAGCCCGAACGGATTTACTTATCCGAGCGTGAGGACAATTTCGATTATGGCATCAGCATGGATCGAATGGGGTCTTTTATTGGCATTCGCCTAAATCGTTGCAGAACCAGTGCCCCGGCTTCATACGATTAATTTGTGTACTCTATCAAGTGGGAACTCGTTTGCCTGGGCGTCTTGATTGAATTTATGAATTTCTCAGAATGCACAACCCTTAGGCGCGACAAGTGGTCCAAAAGTACGCGACGGGCTGGTCAGCAATCGCATTAGCTTTGATCGCACTCAATGACACGCTCCTTGAACGAAGTGCAACTTAAATTTCAACTGACGTAACTTCACTGGCCGGCTTTACTCTTAGTTGGGTTTCACAGTGCCAAGGGGTAACCTTATTTAAAGGCTTTTTGATGCGCCTCCGCGCATAATTAAGTGACGTCGACCTTGTCCACCCCTCGGCCCCCGACTCACAGCCGCCAAGGAGTGGATCCGAGGTGACACTTTCCGAAAATCAGGCTCACCCCGGCTGGAAAATTAATCCGAAGTCCTAACGACGGGATATCTAGCGAGTCGATGGGGAGCAAAAGGAAGCACGGGGGATGCTGCGCGGGGGTGGGCGTGGGGAGACAACCCCCGTCCGGAAGCGCCGCCAGGGGTTGTTAATCAAATCGGACGCGATACGCCGGGGTCGACCTTTGAGATGCGTCCGAATTCAATTACGCATTTACGACGCAGCGAATTTACGCGGGGCTTATGTGCGACCGCTGGATTAACTGTATATAATAAATTCACACCGCCACGCGGCAACCCCCGACCCCTTTCGGCCCCTTAAGGCGATATGAAAGGGTTATTCTGTATAGAGGAAGGAATAATCATTTGACATAATAACCTCAATAACAAGATGTATAAAATGTAATAAGTAATTCTTTGTGGAAGAAACACCCTTTCGCGTAATCGCGTCTCCGGAAGACTCTGCTCGCCCTTGATCCTCTGACGCTTCCGTCGTGCGAACCCACCGATAGCGTTTACGTCCCCGTCTCCGTCGGCAAGTCGGAGATCCAATAATGGAAACTCGACGCGAGGAGATTACCGCCCCAACGGCGACATTGCGCCGCGTCGTGGTTTATTTGGATCCCGGTTGACCGGCGAGCGGATTTAATCCCCTCGGAGACCCCGACGCCGGCAGACGTCGTCACCGAAGACGACGACACCTTCGTCGGGGAGTGGAAGGACGATATATCCGGAGTTTTCACGACGCGGGACCGGCTAAGGGTCAAACTTGAGAAATCCCTCGAGATCGCAGTCTCGGGGGCGGGAAACGCGGGAAACGCGGGGATTCCGCGCGGGAAACGCGAGGATTCCGCGAGGGAACGACGGCATCGGATGGCCGGCCTTTTACTCCAAGTGCCGGGATTTACGAGAGGCGGCTGAGGGATGGTCGAGGGTCGGTTAAGGGGTGGCTTGGATCATGGATAGGGTACTGAATTTCGCTGAATTTTTGCCTTCGGGTTTTTCCACCCCCGACTGAAAATAGAAGGAAAAACGGATGCGCCTCTGCTACGCGCGTTCGAAGTGGATTTTCTTTTTTGTATTTCTATTTCACTTTAAATATCAATGATTAACTGAGAGAATAATATACCAGCACCAACGCGAAAGGCACAGATGAATACAATTAGCAATTAATGGTAAAAAGGTTAAGTAAAAAAAGTTGCACTTTTTGTTACGAACCGATTTCTTGATACGGAAATTCGCACCACCGTGACACGAAAAGTTTCAATTCAATATTTTTATTACCGCGTACATCTTGTATTACGCCTCGGAGATAATTCCGTGAGTACGTTAGGACCAGATAAGGAAACACGAATGTTGACTTGGTTTCAATTGAATTTGCGGAAAAAGTGACATTTAAACCGATTGGATTAATTCGATTAAGCCTCTTAGATTAATTAGATTACGTTTCGGTATCCAGTCTCCCTGTGGTCAAACGGCCAAACCACCATTCTCTCGAATGCACAAACGGAATAGGACCGCAGGTCACTGCACCGCAAATGACCTTTCGCCGAGGTGTAACGAGCCGATTGCCCTTCTACCAGTGAATTGGTGAAATTATCTCGGCATTTGTTCCTCCAGAAAAATTGTACACCCTTCGCAGTGTCGCGAGAAAAAGGCAAAGAAAAATCGTGCATATAAATAACTATACACGTCACAGTTAAATTAAGTATTTCATAATTGGCATATCAATTTAACCCTCTACGGGTCTTATATCGAGTCTGACTAGATATTTACAAGGCGATTGCAGGAACTCTAATCGCGTACTGGGTTCGGTTTAATCAGAAAATGACGATTACATTTTCTGACATTTAACTAATTTTTCGGTCTCTAATGTTAACAGGTAAACGGAGACGACGACTGGGAGTACGAGGAGATCGTTCTCGAGAGAGGGGGCGCGGGTCTCGGGTTCAGCATCGCCGGTGGCACGGACAACCCCCATTTCGGCAATGACACCGCCATCTACATCACCAAGCTCATCCCCGGCGGTGCGGCGTCCGCTGACGGACGTTTGCGCGTCAACGACACGATCCTGCAAGTCAACGACGCCTCCGTCGTCGACGTCCCGCACGCGACTGCGGTGGACGCGCTCAAACGCGCCGGAAACACCGTCAAACTGGTGAGAGCTTATTCCGATTACACCCCCTGGATTACACCCACCGTCGACACCTCGACGTCGCGTTAAACCACCCCCGGGGCTCCTTTCCAAGGTCCTCGAGCAAATCCGAAAAATCCACATCACCCACTGTCGGGAACCGCAAAGTTTGTCTCCGGGGGTATGAAAAAAAAAAGGAAAAAAAAATTGCCGGCCCTATTTTTTTATCATCATCAACGCGGCGTTCATTAACGAGGGGTCGAGTCGAGAGCGACCGCGGAAAAGCGGAGCGCATCAAAGGGGCTAATCGGGCGCGTCCGGGTTTTCCGCCCCGGCCTGGGGCTGAAATAGCTGGAAATGGCGGAAATGGCGGAAACGGCGAAAACTGGGGAGACCTAGCTCGAGACTTCCGATCGGCGGTCCGGACAATGGCGATAGCGGACCGCGACTCGACGGGGAGAACTCCCCAGAAGCGTCCAATTATTGTCGCGAGACACGCCGGAGATAACCGCGAGCTAACAATGCCCGACTTCGATACAGAAGGGGTCTTCTTCTTATCCTCCCTTTCTTCGGCCTCCGATAATGTCCCCCGATGCTGCGGGGCACCCATCTCCTTCCTTCTCCCTGGCCATCCATTCCCAAGACGCGCCTTTTGTGCACCCGCGACCCCGCTGGACTGATATCGGCTCTGATAAATTAACGCGCCCTTTGATGCCGAAGACGACTCGCGGAGTAGGCGAAGCGCATCCTGGACTTTGTCGAAGCGGATGTCACTTTGACAGTTACTGAGTACATGTATGGGAGAATTAGGTACGATGTCGAGTTCTTATAGGTACGTGCATTGTAATCGCTGATGCACCGTTGTATGACACGAAAGACACTAAGAAATTTACTTGACGTCTTGACTTATATAGTAAATAATATCTGGAGATTCGTCGGACTTCTGAGGAAAGAATTTCTGTTGACAATTTCTAAAACGTTAAACAAATGCAATTTATATCCCATGGTATTTTAACGTGTTGTACATGAAGCGAGAGTATACAGACCTCTCTTTAGCGATCGACTAGTATTATTCCAGATGTAATGTCAATGCAGCACGACTATTATCATCATGGACATGCACGCGCCGATGCAAGAAAGTGCATTAAGAGATATTTACACGAACGCCGGTATTGTGGAGAAAAAAATGATCAATCGGATCCAGATAGGCGATCGAATAAAATCCCAAGGAAATCGGTAGTCTTTATTGATTTCAATCATCATCTCCAACGCGCACGATTAATAATTTCCCGTGAACGATTATTCCTGCGGTGCGCCATGAACGGGAAAATGTACCGGGGCGTAAATCTCCCGAGCCGGGAAAAAACGCTGGTTGAAAACCGGAAAACTGAAAAACCGGGATGTACGAAAGTTGGATCAGCCAACACGGACAGGACTGGCGTATAAACACGTATTCATGCTTTCACGGATCAGGAACAAGGTACAAGGGAGAAAGCCGATAATAAATTCAGCGTCGGTCCCGCCAACCACGGTGACTGTATAAACACAGCCCTGCTTGCAGGGGACCAAGGAGTACGATTAATGCATCCCAGCTGGTTCGAGGAAATTTTTCTCAAGACTGGGAAGTAAAGGAGGAAAGACGGAAATAAGGATCCGGTCGAGAAGAAATCATTCGATAAATCGCGGTAGAGCGGGGCACCATCCTAGATCAGCTATTGGACGGGCATTTAATTAGGCGAATTCATCCTTGCCCCAGGTCGGGGAGAGTTTAACGTTACGACGCCGCGTCGGCGGAGATTTACGAAGCACGGCCGCACTCGGGGGAACCAATTTCATTGAAACTCGAGTCTTTGAAGTGGGAAAACGAAGCGCCGGCCCAGATACTCCATCGGGATCACCCAGGAAATGAGGATGTCGGTGTCCTTAAGCGAAGGAGGCGACACTAGACTCGGCGGATCCCGCTTTTATTTTCCCCGGACCCTCAGACGCGACGGGCTCCGGTTTTCTTCCCCTCGCCCTTATTATTTCCCCCGGCCTGATAATTTCCCGGCCTGGTCTATCAAAGGGATCCCGGCCGCAGGGAAATAGCCGGCCGTGCCGACGTTTGCTTTGCCAGGACTGTCATTAGGCTTAAGGCGGTCTTCCGGACGGCGGGGCGTCGGCACCGTCGCGTCGACATGGCGGACGGCCAAATGAGGACGACCGTCGTTTCAAGGACGGGGTTTTGTAGCCACCGGGGCGGATAGTTACCGGAAATGTGGGGATGCGGAACTTGACGCAGATGGTATCGCGGTTCCGATAAAAAGTAAACCGGGAAACGGACCGTATGGTGTTTACAAAAAAAAAATGTTTGGCGGGCGGACCGGGGGTGAAAAGTGAATTTTTACGTTTTTGTTTCTGAAATCAATTGTAACGGCTTTATACGATTGAAACTGGGTCAAAATATATTAATCAAACCTTCACCTTTCGGACGTTTTTAACGCTTTAAAGACCTATGAAAAGTCTGCAGTTTTATTCTCTCTGCTGAACGTCTCTTGTATATATGTTCTCCAGATTGGCATTTCTCAATCATTTTGCTGCGCGACCCAACTTTTTTGGTTCGCAATGATTCGCAATGGTACGTCATCTGATATCCATCCATGAAATCTATGATGAAACCATTCTGAATATGCTGTTCTTTCGCGGGAAATGTTCGTCTAAGCAGGGTGCTCAATAGAAATTACTACCCCCCCAAGACCTTTCTCCGGAAAAGCCCTTTTCTAATTCCTGAAGTTTCCGTTACCCGAATCCTAATTTACGTTCTTTAACAGTGGTTACCATCAAAGATAACTTCACGCATTTCAGAAATAACCTTCACAGATTTCAGAGATGTTAGTTTTTAGATTGCTCCCCTGGGATCCCGATAGGCCTATCAGGAGGTCCCAGTGTCGAAATTTTGTTAAGACGGCATAAATATTGAAATTCGGGGGTTTCTCGTGGCGGAAATTTATTTTCGTTACAAATTACGAATCAGTTTAATCGGTACATAAAAGTCTGCCGGCTCATAAATTCACGTTCCGGTAGACGTTAATCTCACGCAACATCCTGTCGCATTAGCGACTTCCGGTATTATGTTGACCGGGGAATGATCATTTTACAGTGTGTGCGACGTCGGCGGCACACGCAGCTGATAGAGATCGAACTAATCAAGGGCAACAAGGGACTTGGCTTCAGCATCGCTGGGGGCATCGGAAACCAGCACATACCCGGTGACAATGGGATTTACGTCACGAAGATCATGGAAGGAGGTGCGGCTCAGGTTGACGGACGCCTGGTCGTCGGGGACAAATTGGTCGCCGTTAGAAACACATTGGTGAGTAACGGCCTTTTTTAGCCCCCTCTGCACCCTGTTGCTTCTCTCGACCCGAAGAACGCGAAGAGAACAAGCTGTCGCGTAATTGAATGGCCCGTACTAGGCGGGATATGTCCCCGTTAAAAATTCATAGCTACTCCACCAAGACGGGTAATCCTTGCCAGCGGTTTCTCCTGGTCTTCCAGATTTTCCGCCTCGTCGCCGACTCTTCGAAAGCGAGGCTTTCGCATGATGAACTTCTCCAGGAGTCTCGGGTCGCGGTGTGATTTCATAAGTAGGGGGGCCCGATTTTTCATCGGGTAATTCTTTCCGAGGGGTCTTCTCGTGCGGATGTACTTCTGTAATCTAACGCACTGTTAAAAATGTCTCGATATTTCGAACACTTTCGAATAGAAATGTAGACTAAAACGAGCAACAGGAAAAAAGAAAAATGAAATGCAAACGAGACAAGTGTGTACCGAATTTTGGATTCGGTAACTGTCGTTTAGGGGAAAATTTTGCGTTGCATATCTTTATGTGCATCTATTTATTTCGTGAAACGTGACGAATGCCCGATAGGACCTTTATTATTTTTTATGCTGACATATTTTCGGACCGTGCACCCCATTACGTTTCACCGTGACCATCCCCGAGGAGCTTAGGGATCAATGGGGCGCAAAGTATGGGGCTGTTAGGACCAGCTGGACCCATCTGACCCAGAATCTTTCTCGGGAACCAGGAAAAGATTTCTCTTTTATCTTTACGGAAATGGAGCACCCCCGTTTTGCCGGTGCATCGTATGACTTTTATCCATGGTAAAAAGTCTGATATCCTGGAAATCAATATCGGAAGATTCAGACTATCAAATTTATTAATTTTCACGGTGTAAGCGATTGGACTGTTAGTCAATATTTTACTTACATCTCATACAAAAGTAGAGTATTGAATTTTAATACAAATCTCCCAAATTCAAATGCGTGCATTAATGTGCCAGGCACGAACGTGAAATGTGGACACTTTTCTTTCGCATACAAAAATTGTTAAAATTCTCAGCTTCGACAGTGGTTTACTTGAGTCTATCTAATGGGACTATCAAGTCCTTGAAGTCTCGATTCAAACGTAATGTGAGTTATAAATCTGGGTGCAGTCAATAGGTGTTCAAAGCACATGTGAAGATTGATCTCGAGGAACGAGGAAACTCTTGCTCGAACATTTTTCACATTCTGACTCGGTCTTGAATGGGTCTCAGGACATAATACTTCTTAGGAGGACTTGCGAAATGACGTCGACGCGAGGATAAGAACACATTGAGCTTGGAGATATAGTTTCCAGTAATCGATCGCTTCAATGAAGTCATTCTACCTCCGAATACTCATGAGACACATTCTCCGAATTCGACACTTTAAAAAATGTCTGCTACCGGGAAAAAGTATGTTTTATAAGATGTCAATCAGCGGGCGTGCAACTGGCTTGACCAAACTGACATTAAAATCGTTGTTCATAATTAATGCTCTCATGCTCAACCTAGTACCGAAGGCGTAATAACTTAGAGGTTACATTTCCACCACGGATGTTTAATGCATAGAAAAAGGGTCATTGCTTCGCGCGTAGTTGAAAAGAGTCTCCTCGTTACTTAAAAAGAACGAAAGAGAAAAACGGGCAATATCGATTTCACATGTTCGGGATGTGGCAAAAATGAAAAGTGAAGCAAAATGGAACCTGTCGGGGTAGCTCCGCTAAACAAACCACGCCGAAGGAATCTTCCGCTCTGTTTGGCAAAAGGCAATTGGTGGAAGGGGATGAAAGGAAGAAGGGAGAAGAAAAAGAAAGAAAGGGCCAAGAAGGAGGAATCGTTCCGAGCGGAGTTTCAATTAAACCTGCCGCCGGAGCATGCGGGAATAATTGCCGTAGTTGGACGAGCCATCGAGAGGGCGAAACTGTGATAATTGCAGCGAGTTGTCTTTCGCCCTCCAGAGGTCCTCCTTTCGGATCCTTCCCTCGCCGGGGGAGCTCGAGAGAGGTCGAGAGGGAAAGGGATGACGCTCGACGAGGAAATTGAACGAGGGAAATCAATTACCGGAATCCTCTCGTAATCGATTTCCTCGTCTCACGGACCGCCGCGCCCCCGTTCCGCCGCGGAACGGCCGCAACTCGCACCCGCGTGTACCCGAGTACGCACAAGTGCATCGGAGAGGTGCATGGATGTACGCGAGGGTGCAGGGATGTGCAGGGATGTGCTTGGATCTCCACGGATCTATACAGATCTGCACAGAGCCGCTCAGAGCTCCACGGATGCACCCCTTCCACCCGGTCGGCACTGCAGATCAAGTGCAGACACTGACCGAGTAAAGCGATTCCTTAGATGCACGAGATCTCGATGCAGTCGGTGCAATTGGGGAGAAACAAACGTCGGGAACCGAAAGGGGGAAAACGATGCCGAAATTACCGGCGTTCCAGAGCGAAACGCTTCGGCTCATTATTTCGCCGATTTCATGCAATTTGCCAACTGGACGAACTGGTGTTAAGGGAAATTTTCCTCCATCTGGTTAAATTGCGTTTCGTTGTAAGGCGTTATTAGATCAAGTTTAAAATAGAGTTGCATGTACTGGTTTAGAGCACCGTTTCTCAACCTATTGGTCGTGATCTAATATTGGATCGAGCTACATTTTTAATGGGTTCAAAAAATAATAGTTGCTACCTTTCACCGAAGCGTGAAATCAGCGAAATGATATTAGATGTAAGTGTAATGTATATGTAACTGTTATTTTATTTTATTATTTCAAACACAACATGTTGAATCGTACAGCAAAAAGTTTTAGAAACGCTGCTTTAAAGTGCATACTGGCTAATGATTTTTCTTGCCTCGTACTTTTATGCGTTCACTGCATGGCACCCTTTCTTTCAGCAGGGCGACAAAAATTTGGAAAATGTGACGCACGAGGAAGCGGTGGCGACCCTGAAGGCGACCCAAGACAGGGTGGTTCTTTTGGTGGCCAAACCCGAGGGAACGCTCCCACCACCCCCGCCAGCCTCCGATCTCTCGCTTTCGCCACAACCACGTAAGCATTTGACAGATTTACCTAATTAACTTTTAATAGATACTTCTTTAAATTGAATCTTAATGGCGCCAAAACGATTTCAATTGCATACCCTTACTGGCCGGTGATCGAAATCTCGACGTAGCCGTGGACGTTGCAAAGGCTATAAAAGATTGATTTACTCTGAAATTTGCAAATGTAATTAGTGAGGGGAATTAAGTCAACCCTTTGATAACGAGATTGCGAATCTTCTCTCCGCAGCGGGTTAGTTTGCATCCGGATTTTCCTTTGACGTCAAAGAAATTTATATTCTATTTTGTAATAAGGAGAAATGGATATCTCGTGGGGTGAGAGCGTGGATTGTATTCTATTCTGCGACAAAGAACAAACTCGTTTAAAAAGGATAACGCGGTAACGATTTCACGATTGGTCAGGGAATGCCTGCGACCGGAAAAACGGATACTCGGTGAAATATCACGTACATCTGCATTGCCAGTTAAAATCCTGGAAATTCCATTAAAGCTTTCCATGTGCAACTGACGCGGAAAAGAGGGTAATTGACTTCGCCGTTCTGCGAATACACTTTGCGCTGACTTTTTTCGGCTGAGCCGCCTCTTCTGATTTTTCATCCTTTTTCCTCCTTTTCCTCGCCGAGCCACCCTTCGTTGCCATCGGCTTTCTAATAGAGCCGAGCGTGTCGGGATAGGAATTACGAAGGAAAAATCCCAATTGTTCGTTTTTGCCCCGAGTACCATTCATGCAGGCATTATTCGCGATTTGATAACAGCTCTCAAAGGATCGTAACAATAGGATAATAATGAGCCATTAAAACGAGAAAAAAAAATGTCTATATATACAAAAAAGAACGCTGACCAAAATAAGTGGCCAGGAAAATCGGATTTAAACGCCTCCGGGGGATTCATTGGCAAAGCATTTCATACAGAAAATTAACGTGATTTTGCATTAGTAACAGTAAAAAATATGCACATTTACATAACGCCCTGAAATTATCTTTAATATTTTTAAAACGTCTTTCTGACATTGCAAATCGCTTCGAGCATGACGTTCAGTTTCTATTCTGGTATTCAACATAAGTATACCAGTTTTCCGAAGAATGACGATAAGATGTCTTCTTAAATAGACAAGACGAGGAGATCCTTTGAAATTCTTCGGAACCAGGTGCAGCGTGGAAAAAATCTCCGCGCACAAATAGAACTGCTGAAATATCCATTTCGTTTCCCGAGTTACATACGGCTTCGAGTCCTGAGTTCAAGGAATTGTTCGCATCCGTATACCTATATTGAAAAAAAAAAGAAAAAAAAGGGGAAAAGCGACCGACACGAAAGGTACACAGTTCGTGGTCCGTGGCCTCGTGGAGTCGGAAGAGAATGAATTTTTTATCCGGGCAGCCTCTTTTCACTGTCAGCTCGAAGAGCGCATTCCTCCGTGCCAGGGCTCGATATATAATTTATTCATTGCCGTTATAAAGCAGCGGCCGTAAACTGGCATCCCAGGCGCGAAAATCTCCGCAAAGGTTGGCTACATAAACCGCCCAGCGGAAGCGTGCATTTCTGTGCTCGGAGAAATGCAAAATGTTATGGTTACGTGCACCATTGGGAGGGCTCGGGCATCTAATTTAGCTTAAACCAACTGAAATTTGGTCTGGCCGCGCAACCAACGTATGACCTGATTCGAGGAATGTTTGCGTAGGATGCTTGCCGAAAAATCGTGCATTTTTAATCAGCCAAACACGCGTGTGGTAATTGCGGATAAATGGTCAACATTTCCCTGGCGAGACTTGTATTCGTAATGGCAGTAGTTCCTTTCCTGCCAGAGAGTATGTTAAATCGAGAAATGTGATCAACGCATTGATCTGCACAGTTAGAAATGTATCGAACACTTTGTTTCGAGCGTGTACCGAAACCAGGAATAAAACTGACTTTCGAAATGGAAAACGGACAAATGCTGTATTTCGAAGAACGTCATTTCTACGTGAGAATTCGTACAAATCCCTGACACAGGTGTATAAGCAATTTTTAAATACCATATCTTGAAAAAACATTAACTACGTGTATAAGTACTATATTTCAGAGATATTTTTAACAGGGTTGGATCTCGTTTTTGCGGCATTAAGATGAAACGATCGGAAGACAATGGTTACGCGTGATGCAATGTACCGAAGGTTGATTGATTGAAAATCGTTTAGTTCTCGTGAATTTAATTTCTTTTTCGCCACAGAAGTCTGCGATGCCCTTTTAATTCCTTTTTCTTGATTTTCATTAACAGGAAAACAAAATGGTTCGGTTTCAGCACTGGAGAACTCGCTAGTGTACTCGCAAGAGTCGCGCCACGCGTCCTCGCTCGCTCTACACGGCGCCGCGACGCCTCGCGCCGTCTCCCAGGAGGACGTTACTCGGTAAGTCTTCGATGTTTTTCTATTTTTTTTTTGCCAATTATAGCACCGCACACTCCATCGTAGGACTCGAAGGCCTTCGATTAGATTCTCTTTTCCTGCGATTATCGGCCAATTAAGCGAGTAATAGCGAAAAAGAAGCGCAAGCGGATCTGACGAAGTATTACGAAATCCTTAGTCTATCTTCGGTATCAAATGGATTTATCATCAACAGTAGCGAGACATAAGGATTTAAATGTTAGTTTTTGCATGCTTCCAGCTGGTATGCAGTGTAGATTGTTATTACGGAAAGGAGTTTTCAAAGGGCATCTTTGATACGAAAGACAGATATTGATATCACTGGTTAACAATTTGACCCGCCAGTAGAAAGAGTTTTCGCGTTTTGCCGAATTATATGGAATAGGTGTAATTACATATTGAAGTGATTTATAGGGCCATAACCATGCAAATTTGGGGAACTACACGCGCCCTTAATTAGCTGGGCGCATTTCTGCGCGTTATTATCCGCTTATCACCCCTAGAGTATAATCATTAGGGATCCCCCTATCTTGATCATGCGTTAAAAGTAACCTCTTCCCACTCCGCAAGGGAAAGAGCCTCGGTAACGCTTAATGACAACCGAGTTCCCAGGCTGATAACCACCGAGTTTGCTGATATCGTCCTCGGTAGCACCACCTTGCGCCCCTTTGCCAAACGCCATGCCTGCTGAACATTCATGTAATTATCCTCGATAATGTACTTGCAGTATCTTCCGAGAAACGACATACCTTACATCTGTTTTCCAATAAATATTTAAACCACGTTTAAATTATTCCGCGATATTCCTACCTAGAAGGTACCGCACACTTAAAAAAACGAGGAGTGTTTAAATAAATTTAATTCATCACAAAGTGATATAGTCACAATTTATAGTTAACTACCGAGTTCATAGGATTATAATCGATTAACAAATCCTTCACTCTTTATGTAAGAAATTCTAAATAATCTTTAACTCTCTAAGACCCGACCCGTCACAATCCACTGTATCCGCGTACATGTGCACACGCATGTGAACGATGTTGGCAGCTATTAACATAAATATTTGACTTACAATATACATTACTATATGAAAATGAATAAAATATTATTTCCCTAATACGCCTCAGAAATAGAAGTCTTGTCCTTTTTGAAAAAGATCTTCATTTGCGCCATGTTGCAGGATGTCGGGTCTTATTACCCGTACGGTACAATTTACATTTTCAGGTAATGATTTCCAAGACAAGAAGTCATTTAAATAAAATTAACATGACAGCATGTAGGGAATGGTACAAGGTACCATGTACCTTTTGTAAAGTGCGACCGGAAGCTTGAACGCTGCATCGAAATATTATCAATTTCACTCGGGAATATTGCACATCGACCTCAGTTTACCATTGACACCTCCACAACGCAATGTTCTATAGTACATATGTTACAACTCTACCGCGCTACAATTGTCCTCGATCGTTCCTTATACGATTTGAACGGTCGGCTGACGATTTCGGACTCCCTCTCCCGACGCGCACGCTGGATTTCTCACTCTCTGTCGGAAGTCTAGTTAATTATACAGTCACAGTCCGATGAGTCGGGTGGTCGAGCGTGGGAGCGGGAGGCCAGCATGCGCCCCGATAAGGCGCGGAGGGAAGAGGCCGAGAAAGGATGGCCGCCGGGATTGTGGTGGCCAGCGTGCGAGCTAATTGCCGATGGATTAAGGGTTGGTTTATCGAATCGGTTTGCCTGCAAAGGGGATCGCCCCGGCCCCGGTTATATCTACCAGTCCGGGGGAGGATGCTTACCTACTCCTGTCCGACTGTCCCTCCACTATTGACCCGTCGGACCGATAGGATCCTCTTCTCTCTCCGGCACCGACCTCTCGTTCGGCCGCGCTCGGACGTTTGCATAGTTAAGGACCCCCCTCGAACACGCGCGGATTCCGATATTCCGAACTCGTACGAACCCTGGAACTGGCTCGAAATCGGTTTCTTCCTTCGGCCTCGACGCCCGTCCGCGACTCTTCGCGCTTTTCTCGTCGACGACTTCGTGCTCAATTAAAAACACTACTTCCATGGGAAGTTAATCCAAATTCCGCCCTCATTTCAAATTTAGGAATTACAGGATTGGTTTGTCGAAGAAAAAAATTTAGCGGGCTACATTTCAAAGAGACGACATTTTGTCAGTTTTTCAAATTGTTTGAATTTAACTTCTTTCTTAATCTAGACGGACACTTTTGCTCTTTCGATTTTTATTTCTTTTATTTTTTACTGTAATTCGAAAGCAACGCTCGGCGGGTAGGTGTCGAGAAAGATTCTTTTAGCCAAAATTAAAGGTTAAAGCGATCAGTGGAGCGATCTGGGACCTTGCGGATCGCAGGTTAGAGTACCGTCTGGGAATAAGAAGAAGTGGGAAGTTTCCGAATAATCAGCTCCCAGCGAAGCGACGTTATACATTCCCCGACGTTACTTTTTGCAAAGTCGATTCCGACCGAACCGCGTTAAGTCGCAGTCGGAACTTGTCGTTCGCAACTAAGCGCCAAATAATTACCCTAATTTCCCTTAAATCGCGAGGGAAAGGTAAATTACCGGCAGCCGGTTATAACGGTGCCGGTTAATTTACGAGGGTGGCAAGATAAAAGGGGGAGTGAAACTTTTTTTTTTCCCTGGATTCGCCTGACTTGGGGGGGCCATAACTCCGGCCGGTAGGCAAAGCGGAATCCCCGCGGGCTGGCGAAGTCCGAATCTTCCGCGTGCGGAAAACTTCTGATCCGAGGATGGGGAGAAGACGGCGGCAAGGGTAGAGAGAGGGGCCGAGAAAAATGGACGCCCCTAACCAGGGGGAGCCGAAGAGGGGACTAATTGCACTTTTGACTACTGCTCGACTGTTACGGGGGGAGTGGACGTTAAATATTACCGCGGGCGGAATATTTCATCGGGCCTGGAAGCAGGGAAGTTTCGCCTATGCCGAGGGGTAGAGGTTTATTTATTCACTCGGCATACCCGGGGTGTGTACTCCCGGTGGTGGCTCGGCTCCTTTCTGACCGAACAATGACATGTCGGGCTTGCTTCAGTTTCGGAACTTGGATGAGCTTGAACCTGCTACACTCGGACGATTTGATCCGATCCGGTCGGATCCCTGGAGACGATAGTCGGCAGACCGTCTCAAGTACAAGTATAGTCAATTCCGATAAGCCCAGACTCAACCAATAAAGTCATATCTTTTCCTTAAGTCAGAAAATCACGCTGTTAAAATTATTCACGAACTTCGTGCACTATTGGTACACAAATTTCCATTCACGTTATAAATTTGATAGTTCAAAAGTCAATTAATATGTGCACGTTTACTCTAAATTTCTAACTAAATTTATAATTTTATAACATCACGTTGTAACTTTGCGATATTATACAGGAAAATTAATGTACTTATTTACTGAATTAATAGCGTGTGCATATAAAATGTGTGAATAAAATGGTGCGCGATTGGTGCATCATGCTCGAATGAAAGTTTCAAGAAATGTTATATGATTACGATATTAATTTTAATCCCGTATATATTATTACCGTTTTATCTGGATACGGATCAGATAATAGTTCGCATTCCCAATTTCCCCGGCAATGCTTTCGGTTTTGGCCATTAAGGCATTTCATTGAATTGTCGTTTAATAAAACGAGTGCTCAGTATGAAATTCCCCACGTTATAAACAATTTGTGCCTTCCACTGCGGCATTCCGATATTTTTTCGGGCAAATAAAATTAGTCAGTTGCATTTGGGCTTTGCAGCGTGGGACCTGGATAGTGCATTTTTGAGCGCGCCTGCCAACCTATAGACGGCCAATAATGGAACCGAGGGTGCTCTTTCGGGCATTGGCTCGGATTTTTTTTTATTTCCTTGCACGCAAGGGGTGCGCCACGGTTTTTTCGTTAATGCGATCAAGCGCGCCTATAGTTCTCTCTCTTTTTTTTTTTTTCCCACCGTGTCCCTCTGTTTGCCATCCCTGCGCACAAAGCTCGCCTCCACCCGTTCGCTTGCGCCTCCGTGCTTTGGCCCCTCACTGTCGGACGAATGTGCGAATACTCGGGAAATTCATCCCTCCCCTCCCACGGTATAAAGTTTCCAATCAGAAGTGCGGTTGAAAAAAGTTTAAACGAGCCCCGTCGAAATACCCCGCATAATGGTGCGCATATATGCACCGAGGGTGCCGTTTTGCCCGAAAAATTGCGAGCCGCAATTCGGCGCAATGACTTCGCAAATACGGCCATAATCCCTGACAGGCGAACGAACAATCGGACTCCGTTCGATTTGATTTGATTAATCGGGATTAAACGGAAGATTCTAAATTAATTGTGACATGATGGGCCCACACAGATTCATCAATTAGGATACTTGAAGGGTCGTTTTAGGTAGACGATTTAATTGAAATGTATGTAATCCACGTCGCCCGAGTTGAAATTGAACATTGCATTATTACATTTATAAAAGGGTAGTATTTTATATATGTTAAACTTAATATCACAATGTACGTTCACGATGCTTATACACGGTAAAAATTGCCACTCGGGTGACGGACGCATTAATTAATTCCGTGTCGATTTAAAATCAAATTTAACGAAGTAATCGGATCCGAAGGCGATTCCATTACGGGTGGGCATCGTACCTTGTAATATCCTGCATCGCGTGTGCGCGTCAGTGCGGAGAAGCGCGGACGAAATAATTACCGTAAGTTGGGAAAATAAAGGAAAAAAATCGAAGGCACCGGCCAGTTTTTCTGCGATTCGAGTGCGCAATTTCCGCGCTTATGGACCCTCCAATTTCGTCCGAGTCTCGTCTCCTTGGAGCGGAATCATCGCGTTATGCCCCGCGCACGAGCCTTTTTAATTAAAGCGGCGATTTAATGAAAAGTTGGAGTTGAGGACATTTGCAAAATTTGTAACAGCTTTCAATCGTTGACCCTAATCAGCAGGAGAAGTCCAATCTCGCTCCGGTCAACCTCA